TCTATATACGCGCATCCCTATCGATTTACTCGAACTGCCGAGATACCTTTTCCTCTATTTAAAACCGATGAAGCAAAGGAACGGCTAATGGACTGGAAACTTAGTTTTATCGGACGATATCTTTAGAATGGCAGTTATACTTTGTCGAGCATCGATCCTGGTCCGTAACTATTTTTAAACGTGTCATCGAAAGTCCTGTTTTTTTTTTTTTATTTTTATTTTTATTTTCATTTTCATTTTTTTTTTTTTTTTAAAGATTAATAACAAGCGTCATATCACCTTTGTAAGATAAATGTGTTCAGAATTAATGAAAATGATCTGAATAAGTGAAAAATTTGAGAAACGAAAAAATGAGATTATTGGTTGTTTCTTGTACGATTTATTTTCGTGAATTTATTTTCAATGATATTAAATTCAATGTAATTTTTGTTGTAAGATTTTGTAAAAAGATGAACTTGTCATTTAACGTTATCGTTTAAATGTAATCTTTTAAATATCATGAAACACAAGACTTATGGTTAAACCATTTTCATAATTATTGGCAAAACTAAAGAATTATATTTCTTTTTTCTTCTTTTTTTTTTTTTTAAATATTTTTCTCCCCTTTTCTTTATTTTTTTTTTAATTCTTTTTTTTTTTATCGTTCGAGAGTTGGTAATGAGGGTAGCTACGCAATTTGTTCGTTTGGGTAGAATTTTGCATGGAAATAAAAAAAAAAAAAAAGTGTGTTAATGAAGTTGAAGTTTTCGGTATAGTAAACGCTAAAGTACATAGAAAAAAAAGCAAAAAAAAAAAAGGAAGAAAATAAGGTACACACGCATAGCAGTAATCACGCACACAGGTTGAACGATTCAAAAAAAAAAAAAAAAAAACAAAAAAAAAATAAAAAAACTGCGAGAGCTTTTTTTTTATATCGTCGATCGAAAATTTGGAAAAGGAAAAAAAAAATTTGCCCTTTTTCACTTAACATTAATTTTTTATTTATGTTTTTTTCTTTTTTTTTTCTTCAAAATTACACAAAACAAAAATAAACTTATAGCGTAATTAAAATGCGTTGTTAAATCGTTGCAAAAAAAAAAAAGACAAAAAACATTTTACGAATAATATCAACCCAAATTTATTTATAATCGTAAAAAAAAAAAAAAAGCTAAAGTTAACCATGAGAAAAACGTACGATGTTAACATACAAATTCAACAATAAATGAATAAATAATAATTATAAATATATATATATGTATATATATAGATATTTTATATACTATAAAAATTAATGAGAGAGAGAATGAAAAAAAAAGCAAGAATTTTAGTCAAAAAAACGAACGATGGTTAAAATAAAAATTAAACAAAATAATTACCTAAAATATTTTGTAGTAACAGAATAATTTATAATTAACCAAATTCTAATAATAAATTGAAGTTTCTGTTTTTGAATTAAATTCAAATAATTAATATAAACATTACATTATATTTTACATTAATATTAACAAAAACGTATATGCTTCGAACAATCATATGAGTAATTTCTACCAAACGCATATATACGTTCATAGCGCTCAAAGAATTAATAATAATAATAATAATAATAATGAAAAAAAAATAGGTGAGAAAATGTTTTTTAAATCGTAGTATTATCGTATTGAAGTACCAATAAAATACTTTTCATTTCGATACTTAGAAAATCCCAACTACTACAGCGTTAATGTTGATTTCTTTTTGGAGGTTGAAAAAGGATTAAGAAAAAAAAAAAAAAGATAGAGTAAAGAAAAAAAAAAAGATAGAAGAAGAAGAAGAAGAAGAAGAAAGGATGGTGAACGTTTATTGCCTACTTCTTCGAGCAGTGTACCAATTCCGTCCTAACGCGGAATTAAATCTCGAGATTAAAAGAGGGTACTCGGACGCTTTCAACTCTTCCTCCACCTTACCACCCCTTTCACCCCAGCCCCAGCCCCAGCCCCAGCCCCAGCCCCCCCCTCTTCCCCAACTTTACCTCCAACTCCTATAACTCCTTCAACGTTTCCTCCATCCTTTCTTTTCTATCTTTTATCTTCTATCTTTCATCTTTCATCACATTGTGTGTCCTATCTTTTTCTTTCATTCAAATATCAAGATAGAATTTTCCTTGATGAACGGGAAAAATGTCATTTAAATCTGCTACTACTTTTTTTTTTTCTACTTCTTATTCTTCTTCTTCTTCTTCTTTCTTTTTTTTCTATTTTTTTTTACTTTTCTATTTTCTTCGAGTACTTTTAAAGGGTAAATGACGATGGTTGGGTAAGAAGTAGGTATGGTTTTATCGAATGAGAATATCTCAAATGGATAATATGGGAAAATATTTCAATCGAGAATATTTATTATAATTGATTTGTGTTTTATATTATTAGGATTGATGATATTATATTTAATTTTTAAATGGAGTTTATATTATAGGTAATTTAATAAAGTTTTAACTTATGATTAATTTGATGTATTTTAATATACTTTTAAGATAACTTTATATATATATATATATTTTCAATGAACTTTTAATTAAGTTATTATAAGATCAATATATATATATATGCAAGATTTATAAGATCAATATAGTATTTCAAAATTAAAATGAAAAATATTAAATCTTGAATATTTAACTGTTTTATTATATTAGAATTTAATTAATACTTTCTTTTTTGGTGTAGAATGAATGTATTTTTAATATTAAATTTTTAAATGAAGTTTAAATCATAGTTTATTAGTTAGTTTAATGAAATATAAATTTATAATTAATTTGATATATAATATTTAATATGCTTTTAAGATGATTTTATATGTATTGAGCTTCTAATTAAGTTATTATGAGATTAATATATCATAATATTTCCAAAACGAAATGATAAATCATTTAATATCCTATAAAATAAATAATTATAATCCAAAATATGTAGTTGTTTTATTATAATCAAATTGCATGATAGTATATGGTCTTAATTCTTTTGGTATAGAATATATATTTAATATTAATTATAATAATTATACTAATGTGATAAATTAATAAAATATATAATAAAGATATTAAATTTATTTAAAAAAAAAATAAAGTCTTAAATTAATTAATTAAAAATAAAATTATATATGAGATATTGAAGATTAAGATATTGAATATAATAATAAAATAAATAATAGAGTTATTCAGTTTATTTTTTGTTTTAAATAAAGTCTTTAATTAATTAATTAAAAATAAAATTATAAATGAGATATTGAAGATTAAGATATTGAATATAATAATAAAATAAATAATAAAGTTATTCAATTTATTTTTTGTTTTAAATAAAGTCTTTAATTAATTAATTAAAAATAAAATTGTAAATGAGATATTGAAGATTAAGATATTGAATATAATAATAAAATAAATAATAAAGTTATTCAATTTATTTTTTTTTTTTAAATGAAGTCTTTAATTAATTAATTAAAAATAAAATTGTAAATGAGATATTGAAGATTAAGATATTGAATATAATAATAAAATAAATAATAAAGTTATGTAATTTATTTATTTTTTAAAATAAAGTCTTTAATTAATTAATTAATTGAAATTAGGATTATAAATAAGATATTGATTTGATAAAATTGATGACATATTTATTATTTTCTAATTTTGATGAGAAGTTATATTGTAAAATAAATAAATAGATAGATAGATAAATGGATGGACAGATGGATAGATAGATAGATAGATAGAAATTTAGTTAAATCGATAGAGGAGATTTGTAGAGATGGATATTTGGTTTGATTCGACTTCACTGGATGGTAAAACGTTACCATGGAGATTTCACATTGTCCTGTCTCAGTGCGTTCCCGG